TTTCCCCCTTTGGTGTCCATACGTTTGTTCTCTACATCTGTGTCTCAATTTCTGCCCTGCAAACCGGTTCATCTGTACCAACCATCTACTGTTGAAATGACAGACTCAAAGGAATTCAGAATTATTGGGATCTTGCCGATGATCTAATTCAACACACTTTTATAGGTAGGGATATTGCAGTTTATATAAGTTAAGGGACTTTCAAAGACAGCTATGCAGTTGAAAATAGAGCTTTGAATTGCTCCAGGGTTATTTGATTACCTGCTTAGAGCTTCTTCTACCATAATACTATTTCCAATTCTCTTTTGTTTATACTTGTCCCTGGGAGTATTTTTGATGTGTTTGAAATAATATATTACCTTTTTTTTTCTCTCTTAAACATCTCCCTCCTTTACTTATGTACTGTTTTATTCCTCCATGCCCCCGGCCTCATGGGCAGTGACTTCAAGATCTACCTGCTCCAGCAGGAAATTGGCATCATATTCACACGTGCTCGCAAACCAGTCTGATGGTTGAAGTCACTGCCTAATACCTTACATGTTTTTCCTCTTCCAGTTCTCTTCTGTCATGGCTGCTGTCTGTGAGGCTAAATGAGAGAGACTGAGCATTGCCAGTGGTGCAGTGCCCATCAGGAGCATGTAAATGTCCATACTCAAGGGCTGTCTCTGTGTGCTTTCAGTCCACCAACGTGCTGGTGCCTGGGTGGTGGTATGCTCCATGCAGAGACAATGGCCTTTATGTTATCTCTGCCCCACAGTGTTGTAACTTGCAAACCGAAGGGTGCTGCTTGTCTTTTAAAGTCTTTCAGTAATAATTCAATGAGCTTTTGTATTTCAACCTTTGCCCAGAATCTCACAACATCTCTAACAAAAATGGTTTTGGTTTGGGGCCTTTCTAACTATAGACAGGTACGGATGCCATGCTAGCACCGCTATTCTCCAATTATTTATAGCCTCTCCCCAAACCAGACTCTCTCCTTCTTACTTAGAGAGCAAAATCCTCAATGTAGACAATGGGAAGGTGTCCGCATGTTACGTCTGCTCCCAACTTAGCCAAAGACACACACTGCCCTTCGGTTGTCTGTGTGTGTGTGTGTGTGTGTGTGTGTGTGTACACGTCTGGTTGTCCTGACTCTCTCCTCTCTGGTTCATCCTTATCCCCACACTAATCCATCAATACACCAAGGCAACATGTCTCACGTAAACTCTCCTTTCCCACTTCTGCTTGTATATCTCATGGCAGGATGAGTAAGAAAAGGGTTGAAGAACAGAAGGAGTTTCTGGATTTTAATATCATTTCTCACACTAATCCCATTTGGTCTCTGACTGATACAGAATCTCAAGGTTGTAAGGGATCCCAAAAGTTCATCAATCTCTAGATCTTTCCCAATATATGATCATCCAGTCTAGAGTTTTACATCTTAGTCAAGAATAAACGAGTTTCTGAGGTCCCCTATTTCCTTCGGGGGCAATTGCACACTTTTTTTTTTCACTTCAAGGTAAAATTTGTTGGCTATAGCTTTCTTCCAATAGGTCTTAAATCCACCACCTTGAACCCAGATGGAACATGTCTATTCCCTCTGATTTATGATATCTCTTCAACCATTTATAAATAGCTATCATGTCACTTTGTATCTTCTCGTTCCTGCATTAAATATCCCTAGTTTCTTCAATTATTCCTTATGACACGGTTTGGAGTTACTTTAAGACCTAGATGCTCTCAGCTGAATGTGTCTCAATTTGTCTTTTAACATATGTCTCTAGCTTTCTTAACATATGATGCTCAGTATTATTCAGCAACAAAAAGAAATGAAGTACTATACGTGCCACGACATGGATGAACCTTGAAAATTTTACGCTAAGTGAAAGAAGGCATAGACAAAAGACCACATACATGGTTCCTTTTATATAAAATGTCCAGAATGCGTAAATCTATAGAGACAGGAAGATTATTGGTTGCCTAGGACTGGGCATAGCAGGGAAGGTGGAAAGATTGGGGGAATAATGGCTATAGGGTATGGGGTTTCTTTTGCAGGTAATGAAAATGTTCGAGAATGGATTGTTGTGATGGTCACACAACTCTGTGAATATACTAGAAACCATTGAATGTGATACTTTCCATGGATAAATAATATGGTATGTGAATTATATCTCAATATAGTTGCTTAAAACGTATTATGTCCAGAAGGGAAAACAGTACTCTGAGGTAGATTGCTTCAACATCTGTATATCAATTTCACTCTCTAGAAAATAGATGAGTTAATACTATTTTTTCCACCTGCTTGACAAGGTTGTTGAATCATATCTTTTAACATCATAACTATGTAAATTGTTCATTTGAATGATTCTCACCACCTCATATCTGGACTATTAACACAATCCACTTGCTGGTAACACCACTTGTTTTGTTGGGTAAAAGCTTTTTTTTTTTTTTTTTTTTACACCTATTACCCAGCTCAGGAGAATGTAGGGAACACTTAGTGCCCATTGTAAAAAAGTCCACCTCTTCACCTTAACATTTAAAGCTCTCTTTCAACTTTGTGCCATACTTCCTATCATTCTTTACAACCAAACTACATTTTGATTATAAAACAACTGTTATTTCCATCATGTACTTTGCATTTAACCCTTTTAGCTGGTTATTCCTCTTAAAATATACCCTGTTATGAAGTGAATGTTTATGCCCCCCTCCCAACCCCATTCATTTGTTGAAGCCCTCACTCCAGTATGATGGAATTTGGAGGTGGGGCCTTTGGCAGGTAACTAGGTTTGGATGAGGTTATGATGGTGGGGCCCCCATGATGGGATTAGTTACCTCACCTACTTGACAAATGAGAGGAGTAACGTGTATCATTCTGTTCAGCTTTCTTTTCTCCAAAACACAAGTTTTGTAGTCATTTCCACTAGTACTCAGTCATGATTCCTTCCTCTTTTCTTGCAGTTGGTGGTCCCGTACTCTATATGGCGTGAAAGCTTATAGGAAAGACTCACAGATAATCCAAAGTGGTAATATGTAAACACTATGTTGAAAGCTCACTCTGTCGAGTTTAATTTCAGACTCTCTGATGAACATCAGCATTTAGACTGCCAAGAAATACAAAGAGGGTAGGAGGTGATTAAATACAATTTAAAGCTTGTTCCTTTTTGTTGGTATATTACAAAGGGCCATAGGAAAAGTTGAGGCAGTTCTTGAAATTGCAGCTCTTGAGCCCAGCAGGTTTGACTATTGCAGGAGAACAGGAAAGGGCATGTCCAATAAGGAGGAAACTGGAAACCTCTGCTAGCCCACAGGCCTTGCTTAGGAGACCCACTCTAAGGTTGTTCTTCCTGTAGCATCAGCTCAGCCTTACCTTCTTGGAAAACTCAAGCCCAGTTTTTATGAATGTTTTTTAGAAAACAAGACTTCCAGATGGTTGCTCTTTTATTCCATTAGAGCAATTTCCTAATTTTTGAACACATCAAAGAAGATGTTTTTCTTTGCTACCAACCCCATCTTATAATCAGTCAACATTTCCTGCGATGTCTATAAGGGAAATGTGTAGTCGTACAAGTGACCGAGAGAGACCAGACCTTAAACCTATGCTCATTCATACCGTGCTGGGTGAAATGCCTCCAAGGTCCACAGAAGCTATTTCCCCCAGACCAGGTAGAGCTGGAAGGATGGAGGATGGTAAGGATCAACTCCATCTCATTTCATGGGTAAGGAAGCCAAGGCCTGCAATAAGGAATGACATGCCCAGTGGCTTATGATTTACTAACATGGTCATAAATATTGGTTCAGAACTTGGCCTGGAAGCTTCCATGTCGCCCCAGAGGAGGTCAGTTAAGGTGTGGAGATTTGTTTGTGTGGGTGTGTTGTTTGGTCTTATTTAAAAATATGCTCCTTTTTAAAGCTTATCCATTCGAAAATATAATTACCCTGGTACTGTAGAGAAAATAAAACGTTTCTATTGTTTCAGTCTTTTAAGGGTTGATTTTGTTTAATGCAAGTAAGAAATATCAGAGAGCAATCTAGCAGTAGACCTTTTTTGGGGCCTCTCACTGTTGTGGCCTCTCTCGTTGCGGAGCACAGGCTCCGGACGCGCAGCCTCAGCGGCCGTGGCTCAGGGGCCCAGCCGCCCCACGGCATGTGGGATCTTCCCGGACCGGGGCACGAACCCGCGTCCCCTGCATCGGCAGGCGGATTTGCAACCACTGTGCCACCAGGGAAGCCCTAGCAGTAGACTTTGATGCCCCTGCATTTCTGAATTCTCAGTCAATGAAAACATGTAAGCCAGGAATATGTCTGAATCTGTGGCAGGAGGGAATAGGTAGCAGCTGTGAAATCTGCGTAGTATGGAGAGGTTGGGCTAAGTGACGATTATGGTCTCTTCTAATGTTAAGTGGCGTTCTTTCAAATAACTATCAACATATATCTGTTATTTAAGAAAAAATTTATCGTACTTTTACCACTGCTTTAAAAATTCTATTTCATTTAAAATATAAATATCTCTCCTGTATCACTAAATATTATTCTATAATATAACTTTTAATGCTGTAGAGTATCCCATCATTTTGGCAATCCTTGGACATTTTGTGGATAATTTTGAAAGTGGGATGAATGGACACAGTATGGAAAAGACTTTCTGAATAAAATTTATGGCACATAAAATTGCATGGATAGGAGAAAAAAAATATGCTCTTTGATTCTTTATCTTACATTTTCTCAGGTTTGAGGATATCCTTCAAAATGTTCTTTGCTTGTGGAAAGGGACGTGAGAGTGGATGGAAGGAGAAGAGAAGGGAAAAAGAAAAAAGCGGAAGAAAGTTGACCTCCTATCGTCCCCAGACTTTTCTGTTCCCCACTTTACCCTCTCTGCTTTCTCCACAGTTCCATTCCCGGCCCCAGCTCCCTCTATTTCCCTCATCCCTGAAGGCCAGCTGACACGCGTTTACATTTGGAAAACCCTTGCGCGCCTGCCCGAGCTGGGCATGCTCAAACGCCCAGGACTGGCTTTTTTCGGTTTCCAACTTTGGCAGCTCTCCCACCCGCACCCCTAAGGGGCAGGTCCGAACACATCCCTGGGTGTGAGTAAACGGGAAGAAATTATCACACTCCAGCGGAGGACGCAAGGTAGGGGACCTCGCCGCGACGTTCGGCCTTCCGGGGGCGCTCCCCAAGGGCGCGCGCGGTCGCCGGCCCTCTGGGGCTGTGGGGCGCCGGCGGCCGCGGCAGCGTGGGCGCGCGCACCCATCCGAGGGGGTGATGTCCAAGGGCTCGTGTTCGGGCGCGCGCTCTGGGAGTGGTCGCGGGGCGGCGGGAGGGGCGAGCAGGGGCGGGGCCGCGGCGGCGCGCGGACGCCAAGCAGCGCCGGGCTTCTAGAGGTTGCGGCGCGGCCACCAGCAGGAGGCCACCGGTAGCTGTACCCAGAGCCTGGAAACGCTAGACTTCGGGGCCGCGGAGGGAGGCGAGGCGCGGATCCCGGCCGTAGGCAAGAGCCGCGCGGTGCTGCTAGCTCCTTTGCAGACAGCGCTTCCTTAGGTCCGTTTCGGAAGTGAGTGGGGGTGGCGTGGCCGGCTTGGGGAGGAATTCGAACGCCGGCATTCAGGAAGAAAGAATTCACCTGTGTTTCAAGGCAGCGCGCCGGACTTGAAGGGAGCGGCGGCCAGCTCTCGCTCCTGGCACAATGGGCTGTACGCTGAGCGCCGAGGACAAGGCGGCGGTGGAGCGGAGTAAGATGATCGACCGGAACCTCCGCGAGGATGGCGAGAAGGCGGCGCGCGAGGTCAAGCTGCTGCTGCTTGGTAAGGGCGGCCGGGCCGGGTTGGCGGGCGGGGCCCCCCAGCGGGCCTGGGGCCAGCGAGTCTGGCGGGTGTGCTGGGCGCGGGCTCCTCGGCACTGGGAAGCCCGGAGGGGACGTGCCAAAGCGGCGGAGGGCTCGTCTTGTAGCGCCCGAGGATGCTTTCGGAGCGTGAGCTTGTGCGGCGCGGCACAGAGCCGAGGCGGGTGCCCCTCTCCCCGGTCCCCTTCCTCTCTGTTCCGTTGGCTGGGGGGAACTCGCCCGCGGCGGAGCAGGGGCTTCACTCGCGTGCCTCGGTGTGGATCCCGCCAGGAGCCGAGGAGCGGATCGCGAGGAACCCCTTTTCTCTGAAGTTAGCTCAGCTTTGTGAAGATGAAAGGGCACTGGCTACAAGGAATTAAAAGCACATCCCACCCTCCACCCCTCCCCCGCGCGAAAACCCTTCCTACAAGGTGTCGTATCGCGGTTGTGGTTTCCTCATGTCACGAGTGCCACGTTTTGTGAAATCAGTGCACCTTTTGTGGGGTCTCTGTAGGGTTGAATTGTGTCTTTCTGTTGAACTTCCTGTGGCGACTCAGTAAGTGTTAGGCGAGCACTGATTATATTTATCTTGCGTAAGGAAGTAGGCTATGCTGGACGCTGGATTTTTATTACGGTGGGGACATGGAAAGCATCAAAGTTAGGTAACACTGGCTTCAAAATGATACTCGAGCGGTGAAAACCGTTGTGAAAGGTGTGAGTGGGTCACATTGGACAACAGGATTCTCTTCTCTGCTGCCACGGCTTCAGATGAATGAGATTTGCCAGGTACACGCAAGGCTTTTATTTGTTCTTAGTATTGTTCTCCTGGTGAAACGCTCTGTGGAGGTCTTTTGCAGTTGTTTGAAGGGAGGGAACGTAAAAGGAGTAAGCCAGGATTTTGATTAAGGGATGCATTAGGAAAATACTTGCAGCTTAAGATTTGTTGATGTGCGAGTTAGGGTTTTCTTTTGTTTGCATCCCCACACCCCCCAAACACACACCCTGTAGGCAGTGAAGTAGGTGAAAGATTTCTCAGAATCTTTATTTGCACTCCCAGCGACTGCTTTTATTTTTGTAACAGTTACAATAAAACAAATACTATCACACAAACCTGTTTTCGGTAAGCTTCTGTTTCATTGGTTTAATGACTGCAGGAAAAATGGTGGGTTTTTTCTCCATTACTAGTAGGCTTAGAAGCAGCAAACTTGGCATGACTAAAAGTAATAATGATCTGAGTCATTCTGCAAGTAACTGTGAAATAACTTTGCATTTTAAAGACCTGGTGGTTTTCTGCACCCCCGCGCCCCAACGTAAATCTTTCTCAGTTAATACTGTTTACTTAGGTTTTTACATTAATGAGAAATATTGTCTTTTGAGGAAGTCAGTGTATTTTAGCGTATTGAGCACAGAAGAGACACACCTTTGTATGGAAACGTGTAGGTCCTCCTCTTCCGAATTCAATGTGCTTGCGACAAAAATGGAAAAAGGGTTGAAAAGTTCTTTTCCTGCAGTTTCTGCACTCCTGCTCTGTTATATTATTTCAGTGTGTTGTGTGACTCTGAGTTTGAGCCAGCCATCCACCATGTTTAAAGCATTGGAAAATGAGTCCTCTGGTGTTTTATGCTTTAAATAGATGTCTGTTAGAGAGAGATGGCCTAGGATCAAGGTCCGACAAGTTAGCTTTTGCTTATATTCAGAAGAGATCAGTGTTTCTCAACTTCAGCACTGTTGATGTTTTGGGTGGAATAATTCTTTGTTGTGCGGGCTGTCTTGTGCATTGTAGGATGTTAAGCAGAATCTTTGGCACCCACCTTTTAGATGCCAGGAGCAGCCCCCCTCCACTCGTGACCCAGAAAAGTCTCCAGATATCCCCCAAACGTCCCCTGGGGGCAAAATTTAATCTTGACTGAGAATCACTGTTCTAGACTAACAATTAAATATACTTCAATGTGTAACGTAGAACCCAAAGTTGCATCTCTACCGCGAACTATAGTGAGAGCCGTGAGAAAGGTGTAGCAGAGTTGCGATTTTCAGAAGTTAGGCAATTTTTGTTTCTCCATACCAATAACATTAGAAAGCTTTCACAGTGATTTAAAAATCTTCAGGTAACTGAATTTCTTCAGCTCTCTTTTCTAGCTTTAGTCTCTTGCTGTTCCCTACCCCTTTTCTCTGTAGAAATTCCCGTCACAGCATCCCTGTCTTGTTGGCCCAGCACTCCTCCTCTTTGTCTGTCTTACTCCCATTCTGCTCTACCCTTTTGCCCAGAGTTCCAGCATTCTAGTTCCTATAAACAGAATGTTGGCTTATTCTTGGAATGTTTGAAAACATTTTTCTTTTTCCTAGTTTGACTTTAGCAGTGGAGGGTTGACCTTTGGTTCCTTTTTGGAGGTTTAAAGTTATACGTGTAAGGAGCTCAGCGAAATCAGTCCATGTAAAACATGGCAACTGAATCAGTTGAAATGTGAAATGTAAAATGGTCTCTAGGTAACCTATAACCAATGTCAATTCTGTTTACATCAGATTTTCCTCCTCTTCACTTATTTTTTTCTAATCAAATGATTTTTTTTTTCATTTAAGGTATTCAGCACATTTAAGATGGTATAGTAAATAGTTCATTGAATTTCATTTTTCTTAAGGCATGTGTTGTCATTTTAGACATTTGGGTTGAGAGATTCGGGTATAAGACACATACAAAGATTTGGGCACTGGATGTCTATTTTATACATATATGTGTATATATACTATATGTGTATATATATATATATTGTGTGTATATATATATATATATATATATATATTTTTTTTTTTTAACTCAGATATTTCACTATCCTTATTAGGAGCAGTGAATTAGGCCTTAAAAAAAAAAAAGAGGACCTAGTCTAATCCTTGACCTAAAGGAAGTCAGGTCAGGGTTTGAGTGGTTCTAAAGGTTTAGCGTTCAGGCTTTAGTGTTAGAATAATAATCCTAAATAATGAAACTTATTTTAATAATTAAAGTTTTCTTTCCATTGTATATGGCTGATTGTCTCAAAAGAAAACATTTATTGTTATATCTTTGAGGATGTTACAACTTATCCTTTTAAGGGTATAGCATTAGGCCTAGGTTGTTGTTTCAGTGAGACTACATTGTACATATGGGTACTTATTAAATATCTTACAGTAATTTTCAAAGATATATGAGGGTAGGGTACATACAAGTAAAATTTTTATGAATTAATTGTTCTTAAATTATTTCACTCTGGAGTTTCTTTTTCTAGTTTTTGAAATTTATTTAATTAATTTATTTATGGTTGCATTGGGTCTTCGTTGCTATGCGTGGGCTTTCTCTAGTTGCGGCAAACGAGGGCTACTCTTCGTCGTGGTGCACAGGCTTTTCACTGCAGTGGCTTCTCGTTGCGGAGCACGGGCTCTAGGTGGGCGGGCTTCAGTAGTTGTGGCAAGTGGGCTCAGTAGTTATGGCTCACGGGCTCTAGACCACAGGCTCAGTAGTTGTGGTGCAGGGGCTTAGGTGCTTTGCGGCATGTGGGATCTTCCCGGACTGCGGCTCAAACCCATGTCCCCTGCATTGGCAGGCGGATTCTTAACCACTGAGCCACCAGGGAGGTCCCTTCACTTTGAAGTTTTGGGCTTGTATTCTCCTTCACTCCTCCCATTATCCTTCCCTCCACCCATTATCCTTCCCTCCACTGAACTCATCCCCACAAACAAACAAACAAATACAAATCCATACCCTTTATCTCTTTAACTTCTTAAAATGAGGTGAGGGACTGGATCTCTTCTGCTTGGTGAATATTTTTACATTGCTACCACCCACCAGCTATTTGAGAAACTAAACCATTCATCTTTTTGGCTTTCTTTAAACTTGCCCTGTGACTTCCCTAGTTGAGAAATTCTGGCATTGCAGAACTTTTGATTTTGCATTGCTTTAGCCGTTTCCTTAGAGTTGGCTCAGGATCTTAGATGTCAGAAAGCCCCTTTCCTTAAGTGAGTGAATGGATATGGTATTTCTACAGGGGTTATGTGCTTCTCTCTCCCTCACCTACTTTGTATTAGCAATTACTTTACTAGAAGCCACAGGTGGTGTTAACATATGTTTTGAAAGTGCTGGTTTTTCTCTATCTTTTGTTTTTCCTTCTCACTTTTATAGTTCAAGTTCTCCTCTGCCTCTGGCAGCCTAGTTCCAGTAGACTTTCCTGCTTCTGGTCTTTGCCTCTAGCCTGTAGTAGGTATCATGCTAATGCCTTGCTCGGAAAACCATTCTTGACTTCTCCATTGCCTGCAGAATAAAAACTTTCTTCTAGACCTGGCTTCCCTCTAGCCTCATACTCTTTTCCTCAGGGCACCGTTCTTCTCCAAACACGAATAGTTGGCATATGGCAGAGCACATTTGCACTCTGGTTTCTAGTGTGATTTAGCTTTATGCCCTGCCTGCTTCCCGCACTAGTGTGAGACTTCAGGGGCAGGATCTTTGTAGGTCATCATAACAACCCTTTCCTTTTGTCACGAGCATATTTAGTTCTTAGTTATGTTAATATCTTGTGTAGGATTAGGATTTACCTAGAATATAAACCTTATACTTTGCCATTTTCCGTATTGATGGGAATATAAACAAAAAGGGAACAGTAAAAGTAAATGACAACCAAAGTAAGCGCGCAGTATCTAAAAGTAAGTTGTTTGGTTTACGAATCTTTTTCATATTTATAAGAACTTTTCACAGTCGTTATATTTATTTGACAGGTTAGATAAATTCAAGAAAATGACAATGGATATTCATTGGAGGAGGGTCTTCTATGTTGTTATAGTGTTATAGTGTAGTGTCAGTCCTTAAAATAATTTCTTTTGGTAAGGATAGATCTCAGGTTTTTTTACTCTTTATTTTTGGCCTCTTAGCTATAAAGAGCATGAATCTTGTTAACTTATCAATGATAGGAAATACAGTACCTACATTGTAGGATTTAGTCGAAGTTGTTTTTCAAACCTGAA